TCCCACCAGCAATAAGTAGATTCCAGTTTCCCCACATCCTCATCAATATTTGTTGTTTTCAGGTTTTTGTACCTTAGCCATCCTTGTGGGAGTGAAATGGTATCTCATCATGATTTTTATTTGCATCTCTCTGATGCTTAATGATGCTGAGCATTTTTTCACGTGTTTGGTGGGTATCTGAATGTCTTCTTTGGTGGAATGTCTATTCAAGTTCTTTGCCCGTTTGTCTTCTTCTTGTTCTTTTGTCATTAAGTTGTCAAAGTTTTATACATATTTTGGGTATTACATTGTTGGATATATGGTTTTTGAAGGTATTCTTCCAATCAGTGGCTTGTCTTTTCACTTTTTTGTTAAATTTTTTTTTTCTTTAATGAAGTCCTATCTGTTTATTTTGTCTTTTGCTATTTGTGCTTGTTATGTTAAACAATCCATTGTTAAAAGCTAGGCCTGACAGTGTTGCTCCTGTTTTTCTTCAAAGAATTCTATGGTTCTAGCTTACACATTAAAGTCTTTAATCTATTTGAAATTTGTTTTTGTGTATTATGTGAGGTATAGATCTTATTTCACTTTTCTGCACATGGGACTCCAATTTGCAGCACCACTGTTGAAGACACTCTTCTTTCCCCATCAAACGGACTTAGCACCCTTGTCAATAGTCAATTGACCATAAATGTGTGCGTTTATTTCTGGACCCTCAATTCCATTCCATTGGGGTGTGTCAATTTCATACCAGTACCTGGCCGGTTTGATTACTGCAGCTATAGAGTATGTTTTAAAATCAGTAAGTGTGAGTCCTATTTTATTCCTCTCTTTCAACATTGCTTTAGTTATTTGGGGCTTCTTCTGGCCTCTTAACCATTCCATATAAAGCTGAAGACTGGTTTTTCCATTTTTGTAAAGAAGGCTGTTGGATTTTGATCAGGACTACACTGAATCTACAGATCTCTTAGGGTAGTACTGACATCGTAATAATATTAAATCTTTCAATCCATGAACATGAACATTTTTCCATTTATTTAAATCTTCTTTAATCTCTTTAATCAGTGTTTTATAAATTTAATTGTATAAATCCTTCACATCATTTGTTAGATTTATTCCTAGGTATTTTTATTCTCTTAGATACTGTTGTAAATTGAATTGTTTCCCTTAGTTCCCTGTCAGATTTCTCATTGCTGGTGTACAGAAATTCAACTGATTTTCATTTGTTGACCTTGTACCCTGTAACTTTGTTAAATTCCTCAACTAACTCTAAGTTTTCTTGTGGATTTTTTGGGACTTTCTATATATGGGATCATATCATCTGCAAACAGAGATGATTTTATTTCTTCCTTTACGATCTAGATAATGTTTATTTCTTTTTCTTGACTTACTGCTCTGAGTCTGCCTGGTTTTGAATTCCAGCTCTCCCACTTACTAATGTAGCCTCTTCTCCCTCTGTTTTACCATATGCAAAATGGTAATAATAAGAAAATCTATCTCATATTAACATTATATGTAAAGTCCTTAGACAGGAAAGAGTTTAGATTATTATATAGGCCCATAACCCTCATCCCAAATTCTGGGATGCCAGACATTTTGAGCAGCACCACATAATCAAATACATTAACATTTCTGCAGTGAAACAAATTAATATTTACACTGAAAAACAGAGACTATAAATAGTTTCCATTCAGGTCACATTTCACAGTTTAATGAATTAATGGCACTGTGGTGTAGTAAATTACATGGTATGGCTTTTCCAGCCATAGTCTTTGTAACTCCCATTTGCTATGAGCAACTCAAAGTAATCTTCCAGGAAGTTTGTGCTCTCTCAGGTGTGTGGAATTCTGATGTTGGGATTGGTTAGTTTTGCCACTGACAGACTTAAAATGAGCCCTCCTAGAGGCAGAAAAAAATATCTGACTGCCAGCTGAGAGAGACATGCTGCTGAAAGAGAGATGCACAGCTAAGAGAGATACACAACTGAGAGAAGGAGGCAGTGAAGCCAAGAGTCACAAGACAGAGCAGCAGGCTTACCTGGCCCACAGAGGTAGAGGCCAGGCCAAGAGGCCAAGGGCCACAGAGGTGCGTGTAAGGGCACAGCAGAAGAGAGACTGTCCTGACCAAAGAACTGTATCCTGAGCATATTCCTGAATTTGAATTGTAGCCTGCTGCTTCCCTAATAAACCCTATAATCTGTGAGTTCTGTTTGGCCACTGCAGTGAATTAGAGAACCCAGCAGAGAAGCAGCGGGTGTCGCAAGAGGGACGGTTGATGTCAAAGTTGGTTAAGAGGGCTGGAGGATGGCAGCATGTCTGGCCTCATAAGAGCAAGCCTTGGGATGCTAATAGTGATTCTGTCTTCCTCTTGTGTAGTTAGAGGAAGTCAGAAAATGCCGCCTCCTTGCCACTTTAGCTGGTACCAAATATTGGAAGGAAAGAAAAAAAAAAACGAAACAAAACTTTGGCTTTCAGAATTGTTTAGATTTCTAAATTACCGGTAAGAGACTGTGAACCTGGGTTGTTTTTACTACAATTAGTAGTACTAGCTATATACAAAGGCTCTGTGTCTGCCTTGGAGAAGCTCATGACTTACATGATCAGCCTAACTGAACAAGAGATTAGCAAATAAGATTAAAATGAGCAACATACTGGCAAGAATGACAGGAGGGAGAGCTGAGGACAAGAGAGCACTCTATCCTCTTCTAGGAATAACTGTTTGTTTTAGCAATCTCCCTCATTCCATCTGTTAAGGATGCCTTCTCCTGACCTACTGAGGTGAGAGGCTAAAGACTGCTTTAGGATTACACTCTCTTCTCCAACCATCTTCCAAGAAAATCTTGCCTATGATTGGCTGGAATACATAAAAGGGGAAAAAATGAATCTTTCTGTAGCTCCACTGACCACTTTCTATATCAGACCACCTCAGGATTCAATGTTCTTCCTGCTTATCAACCCCTAACTGAGAGGTGATCCAGCTTTAGGTTTAAAGAGGACTTCCTCCTCCTCATTCTTCTAGACTTTCTCTTCTCTGTGCTTTTCCAAGAGGGAACATGAAACACAGAAGAAAGGCACATCAAGTAAGTTTTCAAATGTAGCTAAGAGTTTTAATCAAATTATTTACTATTTACAACTTATTTGGTTAAAGTAATCTGCTAAACCCTGATTTACAAGTCTTATTATTAAAATACAGACTTTCAGACAGTAAATTTAGATATTAATAGGTCAAGCTTATCTTAGAAAAATGGACAAAACTAGGAAGAACACTGTCAAATCTTAATTTCTCATGCCCCAAAATAAACACTAAAGTTGACCAACAAGCAACTTAAATGTATTTTCTCTAGTTAAAATGGCACAGAAAATGCTGTCACATGAAAAAATTTACCTGAAAGTATGACAATATACCAAAAGGTACTCTATCCTACCTCCTGTGAGCAGTAAAAGTGCTGAGAGTCTATAAATTTTTGCATGCCATTCTTGGTTAATCTATCAGACCAGCTGAGACAACTGGAAGTACTAATGATTAGAAAGCTCTTTAAAAATGACTTTGCAGCACTAAGGATAGTCATTCAATCTCCAGACATTACTGTTTCAACTAAGATTAAAGTTCAGAGCAGTTATCTTGTTAGTTACTTTTTAAAATAGGTAAGTTCTTTCTAACAGAAGAGAAGATAATCGTTAACTGCCTCAGTCTAAACTTCATCTTGATTTGAATACATTCAATATTGTCAACATCATGGAGAACTTAAATATTCACAGTGGAGCCACCACAAAAATGAATTCCTTGTGTTAAGCATAACGTCACACTATATACCAATAGCTTAAAGACTCTACTACATCATGCACTGTATTTAAAGCAACCTTCGTGAACCACTGTCTACCCCCGCTCTCCAAAGCCTTTCCCTCTTCTTTTTCAAGCTTACCATTTTTGTCACTGTGATATTCTTCATCTCCTAGTTTACTAAGAGACTCCAAATCTTCAGTCTTTTTTGAGTCTTCTTTCTTTGAATTTGATATACAGTCATTTGATTTAAAATTTATTTTCTTTGACTTACTCTTTCCTCTAATCTAACAATATCCTGCCTCATAGGCCTAGATTACACGAGGTTCTTAACCATTCTCTTGGTGTGCATTTTAAACTCCACTCCACTCCATCAACTCCTTAGACTGGCATTCAAGGTCATCTATCACCTACCTATATCTTATTTTCCATTTCTCATCTATCTGAATCATTCAGCTATGTCAAACTCCTCCTTAATCTTTGTTTATGCTGGTTCTTCTCTCTCTCTGTTCCTCCATATTTATACAAATCCTTTTAATCCCTCAAAGCTCAATTCAAACCTTATCTCTTCTATAGGATGTTCTCCATCTGTGCCCCTAGATTTAGTCTTTATCACATGATCTAACACTAGATTACATATAATCTTTTATTTTTTGCTATTCTTTCTCATATATCCAACCACCTGGTAAGATTTTTAAGACAAGGTCCAAATCCTTTTACTCCTTGGCTATCCCTCAAGTGCCTAGCACAGAATATCTATTTTGTTATTATTTTTCATTTGAAAGGAAAAGACACTGAATTCCATTCTGCTCTATATTATGCAGAACTATATTTCCTAACCTTTTCATGTATTTATAAAAAAATGAAATGGGCACTTAATCCAAGTATTGTTGTTGTTATGTGCCATCGAGTTGGACCTGACTCACTGTGACCCTTCCTTGGATTTCGGAGACAGGATCACTACGGAAGTAGATTCCCCAACCTTCCTTCCAAGGAGTGGCTGGTGGGTTTGAACCGCCACCCTTCTGGTTAGCAGTCAAGTGCCTTAGGCACTACGCTACCCAAATGTAAGCCAGTTTTCACCAAACATGTCCATTTACACTTGAAAAGCTCAATCTGCCCTAAAGGAGAAGTATCTTAGCTGTATTTAACAAAGTCACACTTCTGAGCTTCTATGGTGAGAGAGAAAGAAGAAGTTAATTTAAAAAATAATTTTAAAAGGTCTTGATTTATCAACTTACCTATTACATGGACAGACACAAAGGCCACAGCACTTGTTGAGCTCTGTTAAAGTCTTCTCTGCCTCTCTCATATCTTTATTTATTTGGTCCATGCCTTCTTCTATACGGTTTAGTTGTTCTATGAGTAAGTTGTAAAAGTTACATTTTGTGTTACATTCATAACACCAATCTAAAATACTATTATGGATCAGCAAAGTTCAACCTCAAATCAACCAATGATTCATCGCAGTGAATATATCAGAGCCAGAAGATAACTGCAAGCTATTTAACATGTAAATAATCTTTGACATACTATTCTGACAGTACCAAGCCTCTTTTATTGTGGCAAGATTTGTTCTTAAGAAATTTGTACACCAGGAGTATGGAAGGATTTGTTGAGAGATTATTCTTAGAACTGAGTTAAGTACACTTAACCAGACTAGGTCCCCAATATCAATGATCATTAAATAGCCTCAAAACCTGAGAACTGTCACAAGACTAACAGAAACTAGACCAAATTACTCATGGCAAATTCAAATTGGATGTTTCCAAGCTCACTAGAATCCAGACTTGTGTTAGGGCTTAACTGATCTTTGAGGCCAATATAAGAATATCCAAATGTCTAATGTGCGTATTCAAGGAGCTCTGGTGTCTAACGAGAAGGGTGACTGTTCAAACCCATCAGCCACTCCACAGAAGGAAAAAAGAGCAATCTACTTTCATAGAGATTTACTGCTTTGGAAAACCAATGAGGGTCACCATGAGTCAGAATCCACTCGATAGCAGAGGGTTTGATTTGGTTTGGTTTGGTTTAATGTGCATATAGCCAAATGCACACAATAAGACAATCAGTACCCTGCTGGCCTAACACATACTTGGCATACAAATGGGCATTGTTGACCCCTCTAAACAGGCTATGAACATGATATAATTCAAATCAGAAGAAAAGAAACATATTTCTGTTTGGTCTTGCAAATAGAAGACATTCCCAAAGGCTGAACTTTCTGTGTGGTTAATGTGATAGAGTATTTTGCATAAGTTAAATCAAGAGTTTCTGCCAGTGACTTCAACTCACCCCCTTGTTCATCCAGCATAGTGATGGTCTTGATTCCTGCATCCTGAGACTAAAAGAAGGGAAAAAAGCCAATAGAACAACAAAATAAAACATACAAAGACTGATAAACAGCAAGAATCATTTAGAAATCCAAGTTCTTAGTGAATTACAGCTACAAACAGCTAGTATTCCTAAAACAACACATTTTAACACTTTAACTCCCCTGAAATAATTAAGTCATAAATGGTGAACTGATGTTCCCTGTCATATTCCATACTGTGAAGGGAAAAACAGAAAAGGGCCGTTAATACCTGACTTGACAATTATAGCAATTGCTGATAACAAATCATAAAGCGTATGATATAATACCCTCCTTCCTGATTCTTAACATCAATTCTAACTAGTGCTATCAGGATCTCTCCCCTATCCAGTTTCTATACTTAACTCAATGATTAAACACGTCTTACCTCAATGGCTAAACCTAGGATTCTCCGTGTGCTTTCCAGAGACTAGGAAAAAGAAATGAGAGAGAGAGAGAGTCTTTTAACAAAAATCTGATCACAGGTCATATTTACGATTCTACTCCATTTTTAAAAACTTGAAACCTACCCCTCTCTTTAAAAACTAATAACCCACCCTTCCCTTTAAGATAAAACAAAGATCCATCAGTAGATAAATGGATAAACAAATGAAGTATACACATACAATGGAATACTATTCAGCCATAAAAAGAAAGTATAACAAAGTAGTAATGTGGGGTACATCTCCTCAAGAACATTATATTTAGTGAAATAAGTCACACATAAAAGGTTATACACATATGGCATGATTCCTACAGCAACACATCTATAGCAACAGAGCACATTAGAGGTTATCAGGAGACTGGGGGGGTACAAAATGAGGAGTTATTACTTAATGGGTACGGGGTATTTTCATAAAGTAATGAAAAGGTTTTGAAACTAGAAAGAGCTGGTGGTTGTACAACATTGTGAGTAAATTAAATACCAGTGCACTATACACTTTAAAATGGTTAATTAACTGCATGCTACATGAATTTAATCTCAATTTATAAAATGTATTAAAATTGAAATACTATAACTATAGTTAACTATAACTAATACACTATAACTATAGTTTCTTTCTTTCTACCAGGTGACCTTTAGATCTTCCTACCAACAGAAAATTTAGAAGGTGTTATGAATGGGATACATACAAAATTTAAGGAAAATAAAAATCTAGGTATACTATACAGATATTAGAAAATTCTGCTATATTAAGAGTTCAAAATTCCAAGTAACTGATAAGTAATGACCATCTACAAAATCATATAGATTGTTTTCACTTATTCAGTTTCGGTGAATTAAAAAAAAAAAAAAAGCGAGTAATGACTATGGTACAAATGCATTCTTAGATATAAAGTAGGAGGAAAAAGCCAAAATTATCTTCTAAAAGGTCCTCTCATCACCCCACTATGGAAACTAACATAGAATTGCTTACTTATTCCAAATAAAACATTTACCTCATCGGTAACCTGGTGAGCCCTCAGCTGTATTTCTTCTGATGACAGATTATCCATAATGAATCAAAACTCTTGACAGGCACAAGAAATGGAAATGTGGATATTCTGTAAGAGTAAGGATACACAAAGCAAGCTGTTTGAGTAGTGTATGGATTTCAGGAATTTAGGGATACTTATCAAGGAAAACAGGGTAAGTAAAGAAATTAAGGCTGAGAGAGGATAAATGGATATTTAATGCTAGCTAGTACCACAGGTGAATTGAAAACTCCGGTTTTAGGATTTCTTGAGCAGTGCTCTTTCTAATAGGAAAGTGGTCGCTCTACTGTCAAAAGCAAGGCATTACTAAAAGATAAGCTTGAAAGGCTATTAAAATAAATTGTTTTACAGTGTTTCTTTGCACATTGTTTTAATATGGGAAAGCAATAATATGAAGTAGAAGCTTAAGTAAGAGAGTGTTCTATTAGAAAAGTAACAAAATACAAATTCATATACCTAAAGGACAAAGGAAACCATTTTTAAAATGTGCCAGTTGTCCTGGCTATTTGTTGGAGAAAATGAAATACTTTCATTCTTAAGAAGGAAAGGGGAATGTTAGTACAAAGAGCTCAGAAAAGAATGTTTTTAGTAATAGTAGGGAGTTCCAGGGTGATGTAAATGGTTAATACACTGGCTGTTAAAAAAAAGTTGGAGGCTGGAATCTACCCAAAGGCACTTAAGAAGAAAGGCCTGGCAATCAATCTACTTTTTTTTTTTTTTTTTTTTTCTTTTTTTTTTTTTTTTTTTTTTTTCTTTTTTTTTTTTTTTTTTTTATTAGGATTTGGGTGAAGATTTACAGAGTAAATTCACTTTTCATACAGCAGTTCACATATACTTTGTCTCATGTCATTGACCAAAATTTACAATGCAGCAGCTCCCCTCCCACTTCCTCCCCACAGTTACCTCCTCCCAGTGTCCATCCCTTCATACTCTTCGAGAGGCCCATTTTCTGCCAACCCTGTATATGATCTTGGATACACTCTCCATTTAGACATACATAATTGTTTAGCTTGTTCACCCATCTATCCGTCCCTATACCCATATTTGCTTTCATTAACAACTCAGTATTGTATTTACAAAGGGGTTCATATTTGTTGTTTGTACTGCCCATGTAACTCTCTCTGTCTTTCTCATCCTCAGTGCTGCCATATTGGTCACTCACATTTGGTACATTGCCCTTCTCTTCACCCAAATCAATATTTATCTCTATCTATCTAACAGCATTCCCTCCCCTTCCCTCCCACCCCTGGTAACCAACAAAGAAAATGTCCTCCAATATATAAACCTTTCCTTAACTTTCACAATAACGGACTAATACAATATTTGTCCTTTTGTGACTGACTTATTTCGCTCAGCATAATGTCCTCCAAGTTCATCCACGTTATGCGGTGTTCTGCAGATTCTACATTATTCTTTAGCGTTGCATAGTATTCCATTGTGTGAATGTACCAAAGTTTGGTTATCCATTCCTCAGTTGTTGGACATCTAGGTTGTTTCCAAGTTTTGGCTATTGTAAATAGTGCTGCGATGAACATCGGCGTGCATATATCTGTTCTTGTTATGGCTCTCACTTCTTTAGGGTATATACCTAGTAATGGGATGGCTGGGTCAAATGGTATTTGTATCTCCAACTTTTGAAGGAATCGCCATACTGCTTTCCACAATGGTTGTACCATTTTACAGTCCCACCAGCAGTGTATGAGAGTCCCAATCTCTCCACAACCTCGCCAGCATTTGTTATTTTCTGTCTTGTTGAACTTTGCTACTAGTGCTGGAGCAAGATGGTATCTCATTGTTGTTTTGATTTGCATCTCTCTAATAGCTAATGATCGTGAGCATTTCTTCATATGTTTGTTGGCCGCTTGAGTATCCTCCTTGGTGAAGTGTCTGTTCATGTCTTCTGCCCATTTTTTAATTGGATTGTTTGTCTTTTTGTTATTGAGGTGTTGGAGTGTTCTATAAATTCTAGAGATAAGTCCCTTGTCAGATATGTTATTACCAAATATTTTTTCCCAATCTGTAGGTTCTCTTTTGACTCTTTTGGAGAAGTCTTTGGAAGCACATAAACATTTAATTTTTAGAAGGTCCCAATCATCTGGCTTCTCTTCTGCTGTTGGTGCATTTTGAATTATGCTTGGTAGTCTATTTATACCAAATATTAGGGCCCTTAAGTTTGAGCCTAAATTTTCCTTGAGAAACTGTATAGTTCTAGGTTTCACATTTAAGTCTTTGATCCATCTGGAGTTCGTTTTTGTGTGTGGTGTGAGGTACAGATCTTGTTTCATTTTTCTGCAAATGGATCTCCAGTTTTGCCAGCACCATTTATTAAACAAACATTCTCTTCCCCACTTAATGGATTTGGGGCCTTTGTCAAAGATCAGCTGACTATAATCAATCTACTTTTTAAAAATCAGACATTGTACCTGGAGGGAGCAAATAGTTGAACCTGTGGACTCGGGACCAGAGTCGCAGGGGACATCAAGCTCAACAGGCATAACATACTTCAAAAAAACATTGTTCCACATCCTACTTTGGAGAGTAGTGACTGGGATCTTAAAAACTTGCAAGCAGCCATCCAGATGCAACAATGGGTCTCTCCTCGTCCAGAGCAAAGAAGAATGAAGAAAACCAAAAACACTAGGAAATAATCAGTCCCAGGGACCAGCTTTGCTGGTCTGATGGAGCCTGATGTGACCCCTGAGATTAGCTCCCTTTCAGATCTGGAATTGAAACCACTCCTGTGGCTTCCAGCCAAAAAAAGACAGGCATATGAGCTGAACATTTACATCAAATAGATACACTTCTTGGAGAGAGCAATTATGTGAGAATAGAAGGGCTTTGTGCATACAGGTAGATGGCTTGAGGGGCAGGAGTGCATGGGAGGGAAGGAAACATGGAAGAGGTGACTATGGGGAGGAAGTAGGAAGAGAGCTGCTGTACTGTGGTAAACTGCAGTCAATGTCATGAGACAAAAGTGTGTGTGAACTGTATGGAAAATAAATTTGCTCTGTAAACTTTCACCCAAATCACAATAAAAATTTTTAAAAAATAATCAGCCACTGAAAACCTTATGGAGCACAGTTCTACACTGACAAACATGAAGTTGCCATGAGTTGAGCTCTACACAATGACTGGTTTTTATTAAATAGTAGACTCTCCCTCTCTTACTACTGTATTGTTTGATGTTTTAGTAAAATCCTTAAGAAAATGAACTATCTTTCTCCCACACATAGTAACTCAGGGAAGACCTCAGACAGAGGTTCAAGCTGAAACATAAAATACTTAGTATCACTGTTGTGTATCTCTCTTTAAGAAGTTACTTGGAGATACAACTACTATGTGATCTAGGTTGAGTTTTCTTTGCTTCATTACATTTGCTAGCTTTGTACAAAGTTCTTCAAAAATAATTTATCAAAGCTCTTCGTCAACAACACAGATAAAATCTGGTTGCCATGCTGGATTTGCTGCAAGGGAACATCTTGCAGTGTTTGGAGAATTTTTAATTGTCACGACTTGGGAGTGTGGGGGGTTGCTTACTGGCATGTAGTGGGTAGAGGCCAGGGATGTTGCTATACATCCTACAATGCTCAGGACATCACACACACACCACAAAGAATTGTTGCTGTTGTTGCTAGGTGTCATCAACTCAGTTCTGATATACAGTGACCCTATGTACAATAGAAAGAAACACTGCCCGGTTCTGCACTATCCTCACAATCGTTGCCATCATCAGAGCCACTGTGTTAATCCATCTCGCTGACCATCTACTTTATCAAGCATGATATACTTTTCCAGGGACTGGTCCCTTCCACCACTCATCTGTCAGTTTGTTGGCTTTCGTGTTGCTATGATACTGGAAGTTATGTCACCAGTATTTCAAATACTAGCAGGGTCACCCATGGTGGACAGGTTTCAGCAGAGCGTCCAGTCTAAGACAGACTGGGAAGAAGGGCATTGCCAGGTCCACTTCTGAAAAAACTGGCTACTGAAAACCTTATGAATAACAGGGAAACAAAGAATTACTGGCCCAAAATGTCCATAGGGCTAAGGTTGAGAAATCCTGCCATGCTGTATACTCACTGACAAGCAGGGAACCTAGTTAACCAGGAATGTACTAAACTGGATTCTTTGAAGGCAGGGATTTTGTTTTATCTCTAACATCTAATAAGATCAACAGGAGGCACTCCATAAATGCCTGCTGAATGAACAAATAAATACAAAAACAGGGTAGGGTGTACTCTCAAAGTATTTAAAGTGGATCTTACAAAGCTATGTAACAGTAGCACAAAGCCTGCAAATAACCAACAGAACCACAGCCCAAAAACTGCCATTATACATATATGATCTGGCCTGCTGATCACATACAAATCTTTTTACTTGGCCTGCAAATCACATGCAAATCTTTTTATCACGTTCATAGCTAGCCATCACTTTTAGTTGAATCATCTTTGATAACAGAAAAAGCAACCATAAATATTCCAACAACAGGAACATATTGCAGTTAAACCATAAAACAACCAAACACATTGTCACTGAGTTGATTCCAACTCACAATGATCCCTTTTGGGTTTCCAAGGCTATAAATCTTTCTGGAAGTAGACTGTCTCATCTTCCTTCTGTGGAGCTGGTAGGTTTGAACTGCCAACCTTCTAGTTAGCAGCTAAACGCCTTACCCACTATGCCACCGAAGCTCTCTATATTACAATTGTTGTTGTTGTTGTTATTTGCCGTCGAGTCGGCCCCGACTCATAGCGACCCCCCTTGGGTTTCCGAGGCAGTATCACTACGGAAGTAGGATTGCCCAACCTTCCTTCCGAGGAGTGGCTGGTGGGTTTGAACCGCCAGCCTTCTGGTTAGCAGTCAAGTGCCTTAGGCACTATGCTACCAGTGCTCCTATATTAGCATCCTATTAATACTTCTACTGTTATAACTAACTGATTTAAGATTTGATTAAGATTCTGAGCCTTGATTAAAGCCCTTAGTACCCAGGAAAAAAATTAGTTTAAGTTCAAATTTAATTTTATATCTTGCTCAC